TTGGCAGCCAAATAGCTTTGTGGTCTGAATTCCACATGCGCACCGAGGACATCACCTAGGGCCAAACCAAATATCGATCCTAGAATACGGTCCAAGGCAACCTTGTCAGTTATTGAAGGTGGAAAATCGTTGTTTCCAATCTCGGCTTCATCAGGCTTCTTGATCTGTTTCTGCTCAACATCATGAAATTGTAAATCGAACCAACATTTATCTAACAACAGAGCAAATAGTAGAGTCACATTCAGTATCTACATTGTAGAATTTTTTCAAATCGAACTCACATAAACTAATTATGTTGCATTAAAAACGTTATTTTCTGCAACACACAAAACATATTGCACACTGACCTGTTTTCGACTCGAAGTTTGAAGACATGTTGTGCGATATTATTGTTCCTACAACAAAAGAGTAATATAATCTTCAGAATAATTACTGCCCTAGTGAATGTACTGTACTCAGAGTACCCGTTTACTGAGCCTGTTTACAGCAGGGTTCCTCGTAGGGTACCCTGCTACCAGTATGTCCGAGGAACCTCATAGGTACCCTGCTGGGCATTATCTCAGTACATGGGTACTGATCAGATACCTGTTCAGGTACTCGTCCAGTTTCTTGTCCAATTTTAAAAGCATACTATGAAAAATTTTTCACCAGTTAATGGTGAAAACATTTAGAAACGTTTTGGAGTCAAATATTAAAAAATCCGTAGAATACCCAAAAGGTACTTCAGTACTCAAAGGTTCCTCGGACATACTAGTAGCAGGGTACCTTGCAAGGTACCCTGAATTCAGTACTTTCTCTAGGGTGCTCATTAGAATTCAATTGAATCTATTCAATAAACATATAATGGTATGTTTAACACTTTCGAGTCAGAATTCAGATAAAACCTTGTGTTTTGCTAGCTTACTACATAGGTGTTACTACAAGAGCGTTGTAAATCAGAGTCACAGTCCAACTTACAACCTTTATCCTTGTAACCTCTAAGTAATACATCCTGGCTGCATTTCCTTTCTCCTAACTAAATTCTTGGTCGATATTGTCGATCAAAATATCAATGGTCGTTGTCGAAAATCATTGAATGAATATCTTTCGATACTGATCTTATCGCTACAAAATAAATTTCTATGTTATTTTCTAACAATGTTGAGATCACTCTGATTGATCACTTACCACTATCAAACTACCATAAATAAATCGAAAAAAATCTGAAAAGACGCAGTTTAATATTATATGTAACGCAGTTCGATTACTATCGCCGACTGATTTTGGTCTCTTATTTTGCTTCAAACAACAAACTCACCTTTCTCGTTTTTTGTTCTCTTACCTGGTTTTTTTTCCAACTTCGTTTGTCTATTGATAACAGTGGCTGCACGTGGCAAAAGAAAACAAAAGCGCAAAGAGAAAAAGCAAATGAATATTTGTTTTCAGTCGTCGTTTTAACCGGTAAAAAATATAAGATTCTCAGAAAGGAAAATTTTTCTTCAATATAATGCATAAGTCACAAATCTATGTAAGTAGAATTTATGACATGACCCTATCATTTGAATATAAATAAAAAATGTAAATACACAGATATTTTTAATTCATATAGTCACTTATGTTTGCATCATCGTTGACATTTTTTTTTAATAAAAGTGACTTTAATTTCCACGATTATTTCTGATCACAGAAACAGATATTTGTAGGTTTGTAGAGGAAGACTTCCTATGTCTAATGATGTATGTCTTACCAAGTTCTATTGGGTATCATTAAGACGTCATTATATGACGTCACCTTCACCGTAACTGAGATAGCACAACACTATTGACGAAGAATAGCTAGAAATAAATAAGATACAACCAAAAATCCTCGATGTGGATCTTGTTTGAAGTGAATATTCATGTTTTAGGACACAACTAGGTATGACAACACGATTTCTACGCGGAAAACATCTCTCGATTGGATTGCTTTCCTATTAAAGACGGTGAACACTATAGTTCGACTTCTATTATATAGATTAATCTATGATTTTACTTGTCCGTTCAGACCATGAATCACTACAATTTTCAGTGTTATATCGGCCCGCTTTTCTGAGAAGAAGTGTGCACAAAATTTTCCTAGCTGCCATATCAATCACTCGTCGATGCCAATTGAATTTTTGTCCTATTTCATAAGGGATTTTCTCTAATAGGACCATTAGGTTTAAAGAATAGTCATGTTTTGTTGCCAGAAAAAGTCGGCTTTAGCGAATGAAAAAATTTTGTTTTCGACAGTGTTTTTCGATAAATGCGTAGAAAAGAGGAGGGACAAGGTTTGTGCAATGGTGATGGAAAACGTTTTAACTCTCCACTCCGTTGACAGACCAAATACATCTCTATTAAAATCCTAGACGAGATATCACACGTGTCAACATGTACAATATACGCAGATCTCAAACATTGATCGACTAAATAGTCCATATAGTTTACGTAGTAAATGCTATTGCAACCACTTTGCAAGTTCATCATCGTCTCGTAGAACTCGATTCGACTTAAATCTGTACATCAGTGCAACACTTTTGCTTCGAAACTTTAACGTCCGAAGAATTTTCATATGATTGACAAGATCGATTGTCGATTCCGATGGAAAGAACTTCGCAATGGACACCTAACGGTGTATTATTCAATGCAATGCATGTCGATTCTTAGAAAGATGTATTATCACGTGAGAAAGCAAGTCAATGAACTGATTTATTTATAATTTTAAGTGGAAATAGATATGATAGTGGTTGCAATGTGTCTAACCGTAATAAATAAAGTCGAGGTACGTTGTCTAACAAGACTTGCAATTGAGACTGATCGAAATCATTGGTAAAGAGCCATAAACTCAATGGAGTCAATCGATCACGTGTTGATAGGCTAGATAAAAAAATTTTTTTTCAACGAAAGACTAAGATAAAGGTGTTCAATATTTGAAAAACTGAAATTGGAGAAAATCTGCGAATGTATTAGAATCAGAATGGCAATATATTCAGCAAAACCATAGGATAGAGTGTAAAGACAATAATATATGGAATCGAGACATGTATCCCAATGACATCGAACAAACTATGGATATTCGTCGATCCTAAAACGAGTTCGATATGAATCGAGAATTCGATAAATAATCCATGATCATCTTTTCCCATTGAGATTCATCGACATAAAGACACCGTATTTGAATTGTTAGCTAACACGAGTTTGGCATATGTTGAACAAGATTTTCTGAAAAATATGTGGAATGATTGAAGAATATTCCAATATTTCTAACTATGGAAGCAAAATAATAGCTGCTCATCATTATACCTATCTATCCGATCCATTAACAGACGTTGAAGACAAGGTGTATGTTCCCACAGTAGCTTTGAGAAAAATCCACTATCCATTGCAGGGCGATGATATCACTGGTAGTACATTTGACCAATTGATATCGTCTGTACCATCTGAGCGCTGACATGAGTCAACATAAATAAGGGCGAAATGCTGTTAATATACGATGACTGAAGCTCAAGATTGATAATGTCCAAACGTCGAAGCTGAGTCAACTGACGCAAGTCATTTATCATTTTGTCCGTTGTCATTTAAGGATGAATGTCAGACAATGAATGTGATTGCGAATGGGAAAATTGACCAAGAGTCATAATTTATGAGAAAGAAAACCCTATATAAACGAAGTGAAACAATTCAACCGAGAAGCGATGGAAGATGTTCCTGACAAATGTAGTCGAAAATTAGTTCGGTTCGGGTGCATTCTCAAAGCAATCGGTTTGAGTTCGGTTCGGTTCGATTTAACTCAGATATCGTCTGCTCATAACAAGAAAGGCTTCTAAAGTGTACTACGTTTGTGCATCATGGCTGTATGTAACGATCACTCGTCTGTATAATTTGATGGTGGTAAATTAAGACATCTCTGAGAACTGATATGAGTAATGCTTGAATCAACATATCGATAAGTTTCGAAGCATTTGAAATATGATGCAAAGCCAGGAATTGCAATATATTCATCTTTATCAGATGACTTTTTATCTAGAAAGCTCATATCCATTTTTTTTCCAGCATGCAGCTGAAACACGTTTACTTTGGTTTGAAATAACTTTATAATCCGTATTATCACGCTTTAATAGTAATTTGATGGAATCCGAAGTATAATTTGAAGATGAATTCGAGATAGACCGTAATGATGAACTTTGGATTGACGAATGAGAAATTGAAGAATCCGTCGTCGCCATTAGAATAACAAGTAGAGTTAAATAACTTATAGGAAGATAAATATTGAATAACTTCAAGATAGGAATGAGAAAGAAATGATAATGAGTCAAGTCAACTACTTATTACTGAATGATATGTTATAGGAAAAAATCGAGCCGCCACCGATAGGCCAAAAAAATTTTTAATTTTCGAGCCGTCGCCGCCGATCCAGACGTCGGCTTACACCTCTAATGATAGATCAACCAATTATTTTTCTTCTATGTTTATTTACATTTACTCGAATTTCAAAAATCGGTTCGATTCGGTTCGGTTCGACATCGTTTTTCAAGAAACGGTTCGGGTTCGATTCGGTTTGGTTCGAGCGCATTTTCAAAAAACCGGTTCGGATCGGTTCGTTTTCGGTCTCTGATATAGATTAGGTTTTTGCTGTTGAAGAAGAAATTTCTTTGCATTGATCAGTAATTTCTATTCATGGAAATATAAATGTCGTCGAGAGACTGTTCTTGATTTAATCCGACATGCTACTGTTGAAGAACTATTAGAGTTTTGCAAACGCTTTCCAAATGTTATTGAGACCATCATTTGAATTTTTTCGAATCTTCCTCAATTGACTTTGCTTCGTCGCATACACTCATAAGACATGTGTTTTTCTTTTTCTTCTAGTTGTTATGAAAGATTTTTGTTCTCTTTTCTATTCTAAGTGACAAAAATATTGCAATGTAATTGCACAAACATATGAAATCTGCATATGTCATTCAATATAAAGTTTTTTTTATAACTAGTTGTGAAGGTTTCAATATGAATGGAAGAAAACGACAACGATGCAATTCAACGGATAACTATGATAATGATGGTGCAACAGAAAAGTTGCAATGCACTTCTGGCTTAGCAACGTCAATCAATAAAAATAAGTTAGTAAAGCTTTCGTAGACATGAACTGAAACGAGTATTGAAGTATATGAGTAAACATTTTGACTTTCATCCCCATGCACAACGACAGACAGTTGAAAGTTATAACGGTGAAATTCATCATATACACTCATAAATTACTAAAAGAGAAACTGATGATTTTCTAGCAACAGAGAAACGACGAAATTCAGAATTTTTCTATTTCCTCCTTAACTTATTGATAAACTAATATAAATATACATTAGTTGTGGGTAATGAATTTAGCATAGTATCGATTATATGAAATAATTGGCTTAAATCAGTTGTCTTTTTATTAGTAACGACATTTATTTCGTGTTTCATATACAGAGTTCTTTTTTTCTTTTAAGAAATTGCAATACTTATTTCGAAGATCTTTCCAATGAACTTATCTACGAAGTTTTTGATTATCTTGATGGTTATCATATCTATGAAGATTTTTTCAATCTTAATACACGATTTCAAAATCTTTGTACACATTCACATCTTTCAATTGAAATGGGTATTGCATATTTATCTAAATCAACATTTCAACATTATTATAATCAGTTCATCCTACCGAATAAACATCAAATTCAATCCCTTCATTTATCAGATATATTCATTATTGATTTCTTTTCTTCATTAATCGAAAATATCTCAAAATGTTCTCAACTTCGAACACTTCTTCTGGATAAAATGGAATCAAAATGTCTTGAACATCTTCTTATTGATTTATCTTCTTTACCTAATCTCTCTTCATTATCTATTCATGTTGGTTATGGTTCAAATAAAATGACTATATATAATCAAATATTTCAATTACCAGCATTAAAATATTGTAAAATTGCTTTTGAAGAAAATCTTCCATTAGGACCATTACCTTTGTCTCCTAATCTATCAAGTCCTATTCAACATTTTGTTATTATTGATAACGTTGATCTTGATGAAGTTAATATTATTTTATCATGTATTCCAAAAATTCGTCGTTTATCAATAACATATCGATCTGAATATTTCTCACAAGAAGCAGTCATATTTCTAATGATATTAAATAATTCAACACGTATTTCTGTCACAGGAAATCGTCTACCACAAAAATGTATTAAAGAATTTATCAAAAAATATTCTCATGAAATTAAAGTATTACATGTTTCGTCAACGCGATATTCGACCCATTTTGAGACATGGGAAAAATCTATTTTACCTTATATACGACATTTGCATGCTGTCGATGTTCATGAAACAACACTAGGACTCTGTGACAATATTGTAAAAATTTATCAATCTGTTTATGATCCTTATATATCATCATTGCCACATATACGACAACGATTCTTTACTCATGTACCGATGTCTGAAGAGTTTTTGCATGAAATGTTTTGTTCTATTCGTCCATATAGGTAAAGATTTTAATTAATGAATATCAGTTTCATGTTTGGTTTTTCAGAAAAAAATACTTTTCATTGAGTCGTGAGGCAAATGCCGTCAAGTGTAAGTGTTATGACAAAACTCGTCTTGATTTAGTTCAACATGTTACGATCAAAGATGTAGATGCGCTTAACAATTGTTCCAAATACTTTCCAAACGCAACTGAACTAACTTTCTCTAAAAAGTGTATTGTTGATTATGAGGAGCAATTAACTGATAGTCTTCGTCGGACTATTTCGTTGATACGGCTTACTAAATTAAATATGAATAATATTTATTCAGAATTAGATATGTTAATCAATATAATACAATTTACACCCAATATTCATACATTAACATGGATACATATAAAAGATTCTCCCAAAGATTTATTGTCAATATAAGATAGTGAATCTTTTCAATTAGTATCGAAACAAAATCAAATAAAAAATATCATTATTAAAGGTGATTATACAAAGAAGATGATGGAAGTATTAATTAACCTTTGCCCTCAAGTACAATATATTTCATTCGGTTATTCTCGTCGATCTCTTGATGCAACTGTTTATTATCTATTATCAGAAATAAAGGAAACTACTCGTCATCTATTTTCATTATGTATTTTTAGCGCAAGTCCAAGGTGGATTGGAGAGTTGGAAGATTTGATTCAATCACGAGAAGTTTTTGATAACTATTCTACAAAAGCCATTGATGGAAAATATTATGTATGGTGGGGACATTGATGATCAAATAAACAATTCTTGTGTTCTACATCGTAGAAGGACATGCATGTTAGGGATCAATTAAGTAATATAATATAGATTATATCAGTTGTTCGTAAATAAGTCAGGGCACAAATCAACTCCCAAAACGGGAGGGAGGTGTAACACTTTAAAAGTCTTTGAAGAAAATTCTTAGATATATCCAGTTGAGAATTATATGAATACTAGCCTGTCTCCACTTATTTGTTCTTCCAAATGTTAATCCGTATATTCAAAAAATAAATAAAGATGTAAGCTATTGATATGAACAATACCCTCAATGTAAGCATCATTTGTCAAATAATCTTTTGTGAAGAGTTTTTAATAAAATAAATTTTTAGTCTATTACTAATATGATGAATTACAGGTGTTTGCAAAAAAACTTGGAAACCTTCTTCCACAGATATCTTCTATACAGGTGCTCTTCGAATTCTTTGATATTATGTTTGTGGAATAACGATAGAAATAAAACGGAGAAAACTTATGCGGGAAGAATGAACAGGCGATGTTTGAATTAAATTTCAAAACTTTTGCAACATTTAGGTTCATAATGGAAGTATTCGTATCGAGAACATATACCCTTTAATTGAAATGAATGCTTACAATGTATAAACCCTACGTTATGGAGTTTTTCTCGTCAGCAATATCCGAACATTTTTGTAGATAATAGTGAAATCCATTAATGCACTGAATATTTTCAGTTGATCGAAGATATTTTCCACCATAGTTTCTGCGTCTTTTAAAGCTTATCCTTATCAGAGATTTAGACTAAGAAAATGAGATTGAGAATATCTGTATTTTCGATTTCATACATATTCAACTGGAGTCATTGAATACATGCTATATAATGCAGAAATCGATATTCCAGAATATTTACAAGAACTGTCTTTCTTAATCATAAAATATCTAAAACATCAAACATAAATTCATTATTTTATGTCTACCTCAAAATTCTGTCATCGCGTACATTTGAATTGAAAAAATAATAAATTTTTCATCTTATTTTATTTTTACATTAAAGATAAAGAAAAAGATTAAAATATATCTTCATTTAACAAAGCGAATTGATAACAAATGCAATATTGAAAACTTTTCAACAATCTCATTCCTTATTCAACATTTTCTATATTTTGAATTTTGTGATTCACTTACACTTCGAGATTTCTGATTTTCGATTGTTTTTCTTTCCCCAATCACAAAAAAACATACGCTGTGAATTCAAAGAATAGCATTATATTTTATATTCGAATTCTCTGCGTGTACTTTTGTATCTATTACATAGGTTAACATAATTTATATGACATAATTTCTTGATTGAATCATGAAATATCTGTTGAACACATTGAAATCTTTATTTCTTGAACTATTGATAATAACCTTTTCCTAAAATATGAAAATCCATTTTTTAAAAGATTGTTATTATAACGAAATATTCACAATCATTTCTTTTAGTGTTTACTTTTATCAGTGAATTTTGTTGTGAAAGTCATACGATGAATCATTGATTAAAAGGAAAATTATTTTATTCGATAAAACGAAGAATGATAGCATTCATTGTCCTCGATTCTTTTTCTTTCCTATTTATGTGTTTGTTAGTCATTTCGTTGGTCGTGATAAACACTATATATCAAATAATACTGCAGATTGTTTACTTTGTTTTTTTTTCAGAAATGCCCGAAAAAGGTCCATGTACCGATCTAACATGTGATAATGAAATCAAAGAATTATATGAATGTCATTGTTGTTTACGTCTTGTTTGTTTTTATCATTTGAGTAAACATATTGAAATAGTAAAAGAAAATAAACAACGATTAGATAATCTTCGTAATGAATTAAATACAGTTGTATATACACTGAAACTAATTATCGAACGTGAACAAAATTTGGTTGAACAAGCAAAAAAAATTTTTGACGAACCCAGCAGTTCAATAGATGAACTAAAAAATATTATCGAAAAAATTAATCAAACAATAGCATCAAATCGTTCAGGTAAAAACTAAATTATATAATCAGATTTTATTTTGTATATTTTTCTTTTTTTTTGTTATAGAAGAAATCACAGTGAAAGTCGAATCGTCATTATTAGAAACTAAATATTGTTCTTGTGTTTGCAAATGTAATAAGGAAAACATGAATTCAAACGGTAAAATGAAATTTCTTTCTAAAATATATTTGTTTATTTCGGTCGAACCCTTAGTAAAAGTAGTTGTAGTTAATGAAGCAAGTCATGACTTTTCTACCGAATTATCGATCTACAAGTATCCATAGACTTAAGTTTGATAACTCAGAATATTTGGAAAGTTTCAGCTGTAAAAAAAAAATAACGTCCATTTATCGAGAGATTTTATTTCCAAGTAAATTTTAGCCAGTGGCTATTTATTACAAATTTAATATCTCAATGAATGAGCATTTTTTCGCTGTAAATGTAATTTGATTAACTTATTTTTGAATAAATTTTATTCTTAGCGAGTCATATAGTTGCCTCGTAGGATAATAAAAGCCTCCAAAATATAAGTTTTTTTTGGATGTTTAGATGTAACAGAAGAATTGAGAATCTCAAAAGGTAAGTCAAAATTTTTAACTTTAAAAGGAAAAACTAAACATGATTGGTTTAAGATGATGAATATTCAACAGATATCAATCATGATTCTATTGATGCTGTTTCAATGGAGTAAGTTTCTTTTTTTTTAGAAAAGATTCGAAACCGATTGCATATTTTTTTTTAGCGAAACAACGAATTCAATTGAGGTAAAAATAATTTTAAAGATGAAGTCAATTGTTGAATTATGGACAGTTGCATTTGTTTCTCCTTACAGCTTTGCATTTGGATTGGAAACTTTTTTTTATTTAAATTAGAATATTGATAGTAAATAAAAAAAAACGCGCTATATTTACTACAAGTTCTTTAGAACAGCATATTTCTGAATCGATGAAGTTCTCAGAGAACAATGTACTGCTTTTCTAATGTGTGAAATTTTCATATCTCATAGATTTATTCTTCAAAGTATTTAACGAGAATACGAATTAACTATTGAAATTAATTTTGTACACAAAAAAGTAGAAAATTTCAATATATAATACCTCATTTTTCAGTTTAAATTTCATATGAAATCAGAAAGAATGAATATCATTCCTCATCCTTCTCGATATTGCTATGCTATTCTAAATTAAAGTCAACACTATAAAGGTATCTATCATAGACTTGGCTGATTGTCCTTTGTATATGTTTAAATTATGAATTCTGCATGATATTTAAACATTCATTATACATTTTTTTTCTAGGATCAACATGTAAATGAAGAAAATAAACCTAAACAAAAACCATATAGAAGAATTTTTCGTAAATGTCCATTAACATTTAATGGAGCATATGGTCTTACTGAAGCAAATCATTCTATTGAATTTTGTAAGCATGAACAAACTCGTCAATTCGAATTATATAATCATTTCATTCAAAAGCATCGATTAAAAAAAGTTTATGCTCAACGTTTAGTACGAGCTGTTGTTGACGGTCAAGATCCTAAAATAACAAAATTATTCGATGAAAACGAAAATGTAATTAATCATTTTTATAAAGTCCCATGTCCAATTTGTTGTGGACAAATTAATTCATCAGAATATAATGGACAAAATAGAGTAACTGTAACATGTCAACCTCGATTTATTATACTTCAACAATTAAAACAACATTTACGACGTAATCATAAGATTTCTAATTTGTTGGCAAACAAGTTAGTTGATGATATCAAACAAAATCAAACAAAAAATGATAGTGATTCGGTTCTATTAGTTCCCTCAACATCGTCAAAATAAAAGAAAATCTTAAAATTCTTTTCTATTGAAGTTTATCTCTTTTGTTTTTTGTTAATGAAAATAAAGAATTCCATAATTTGAAATAGATATTTAAATTATTCTTTGCTATTACTGTTTGATTAGATTTTCGCATGAGTCAATCATTTTGAAATTCATTAGAAATATTTTTGCAAAAAAAAAACAGATTTTGGGGGAGGCAAAGAACATATTCTGATATATGTTAGTATTTTGCTGATCATTTACATCGCAAAAAGTCAATTAAGTAATAAAGTGTGTACCCAGTCTTGATTGAAAACAACAAAAATATGATATTGAATGAAAGGAGATTTTTTTTTATCTTTATATGAGTATATTAAAGTAAATTGTTAAGGTTTAATGACAATTAGTTTATTAAAGTAGTGTTAAAACAGAAAGTGATGAAGATTTCCAAGTATTAATTAAATATCATGAAATATTATGTACAAAATATATAATTATTCATTCAATGATATTCAACTCATTTATTTGTGCGAACAGTTCGATACTTAGAGCTCGTCATTAATGCTTTGCTTGTTTTTTATTCATTTTGAAAACATTAAAAAAAATGTTTCTAGATATTTTTAGACCAATTTATAAAATAAAATAA